GAGCAAGCATACCTTGTATGTCTGGATGAGTCATAAGATAAAGGAAAGCAGTCAATAGGGTGTTGGAGGTGGTGTCTGTCCCAGCAAAGTGAAGATCAAGAGCGTACATTGATAGCTGTTGCTCTGAAAATAAGCAACCATCATCACCACTTCTCTGTTAAAGAAAATTATTGTTTCATGATTACAAAAAAAAAGCCATATGAGATTTTAAAAAACAACACTATATATACCATTCTTATTAGTTAATACTTTTACCTACCTTATCCATTTCATCCAGATAGCAGTCAAGAAAGTCACGTGGTTCTCCAGGGACTCTGGTCCTTTTGTGCTCGGCCAATACAGACTTTGCAAGTTTTTGACATTTCTAAAGAATTAAATACAAAGTATGATAATTTCATTTTCTTGAAAAACAAGGGCAACACTGTACCATAATTTGTTAGCATGACCTCTTTTCGGGCTATTGCCTACCGACTGCTGTCAGGCTGCTGAATAAAAAAAATAAAATGATGTGATGTGAAAAACAATTGTAAATAGTACGGCCACCTTATCTATATCTATATTTAAAGTATATTGCACTTAATTGAACGGTGTACATTGAAACTGTAACATTTATTTTGTGAATTTGTGAATGCATACACTTTGTTTTTCTTCTTTCTTCTTTCTACCCACAATCTTGCTGCTGTAGACTGTAAATCTCCCCAGTGTGGGACAAATAAAGGATATCTTATCTTAAAATCAGTACATCTTTGATCTGAACCATGTATTCTGATCACTGACATGAATTACAAAGCCATAAAACATACCTTGACGTTTTCAAAAGACTTCATGAAGGGCAAAGGAAGACAACGAATCATAGGCAAGGAGTCATACAGCTGTAATTAGGATAAATGAGAAAATAATCATTGGTGATCTCCCAATGTACAATGCAGTGGAAATAAATTGCATCATCACAGTGATTAAATTCTTCCTGCATCGTATGCCTCAAACTTAAGTGGAGAGGGTTTGGTTTGGAAAGCTTGAGTTTCAGGGATTTACCCACTTTGGACACACACACACACACACACACACACACACACACACACACACACACACACACACACACACACACACACACACACAGTGTGTGTGTGTGTGTGTCCAAAGTGGGTAAATCCCTGAAACTCAAGCTTTGTGTGTATGCCTGCGTGGGTTTTTCTCCGGGTACTCCAATTTCCGCCCACATCCCAAAAACATGCACTGCAGGTTAATGGAGCACTCTAAACTGTCCCAACGAGTGAGTGTGAGTGTGGATGCTTGTTCGTCTACGTGTGCCCTGTGATTGGCTGGGAACCAGTTCAGGGTGTACCCCCCCTGTTGCCCAAAGACAGCTGAGATAGGCTCCAGTACACCTGTAACCCTTGTGAGGATAAGCGGATTAGAAAATGAATGGGTGGATGCATAGAAAGATGGATGGATGGATGGATGGATGGATGGATGAAGATTTCTGAAGGTGCCAGTAATTGTAATAAAAAAGCACTGTACTGACTCACCATAGCCCAGGGTCCATTGGCCAACTTTGCATTTTCAGTGAAACACTGAACAATAACTTTGATGAACTCATCATTATAATCATAGCGTTTTCCAAACAGAACCTGGCAGATGATGTTAGAGGATGCATTGTGGAACATGAGTTGGGGACTTAAAGTACTGCCTGTAGAAGAGTTCAAAAAAAGTTCAAAAAAATTAGTACAAACTAATAATATGGTCAGGCAGTATTAAATCTTTTCCACAAATCCAGAGTGGCAACACAGATTCAGAGAAAGAAACTTTACAAAATGGAAATGAAATGTGAGGGAATGTAATATTGTATTTTCAAAGTTTAAAAAACATCAGCTCAAGTGTACAGTAAAAATGTTTGATCCACATACCAATGTACTTTTCCAGTGTATTCATGATGAACTCAGTTTCTCCCAGAATCCTCTCCTCCATTGACTGCTTCCCGAGACCAAAGTTCCTCAAAGTCATTAGAGCAAATCGACGATGTTCCTTCCAACTAGGACCATAATCAGCCAGGATGACTCCTGAAACAGGTGTGGAAGTGGTTAATGCAGACATTATAATGTAACCTCATAAAACATTTTCTCAAAACACTGTACAACTGTAAAAAGTTACTACTCTGCTATTCAATTTATGAAACATTTGTTTCTAATTTCAAAACATACAAAGCATTTTTAACTGAAGGATTGAATTCCTTATTTCAGTTTCCCATTACAGCCATAAGTAGAGCAACAGACACTGTGTTAAACACTGATGCCATTTAAAATGAGCTCTGAGTAGATTTGGTCTCACTGACAGCTAATTAATCATTACTGACTCTGACAGCTAATTAATCGTTATTGACTCTTTGGGCCAAGGGACAATGTTACTGCTATTATTATTATTAATAATAAGAATAATAATAACAAAAATAATAATAATCATAACATTAACAATAATGTTAAAAATATTGTAATAATAACAACAAAAACAAAAGCACCTGTTATAATAATTGCGACTTTACCTTTTCTGTCTGTTGTGTCATTGACATAAAGGTCTTGAGGTCGTCCAGCAAAGTCACTCGCCTTGGTCACCAAAGCCTCCTTCATAGCTTGTAACCCATTGACTATGACAGCAGGTCTAGGACCAAGGTACAGGCTGTAGACATTTCCATATGCCTTCCTCAGCTTAGAACATGGACAACACAATGTAGAACGTTAGTACAATACAGATAAACAATACAAAATACAGAACAGTATGTCAACTAATATAAGGATGTTGGAGAAGGTCTGATTTAGCAAAGCAGCCCCAAACCATGATTCCCCCTCCACCATCCTTCACACTTGGGATGAGGTTTTGATGTTGGTGTGCGCTTCCTTTTTTTTCTCCACACATAGTGTTGCATGCTTCTTCCAAACAACTCAACGTTGGTTTCATTTGTCCACAGAATATTTTGCCAGTAGTGCTCTGGAACATCCAGGTGATCTTTCGCAAAGCCTAAACATGCAGCAATGGGTTTTTTTTTTGTTTTGTTTTGTTTTGGGTTCTTTTAGACAGGAGTCACTTCCTCCGTGGTGTCCTCCCATGAACTGTATTCTTGTTTGCATATTGGAGATTTGTCCACAGAGACCTTGGCATGTGCCAGAGATTTTTGTAAATATTTGGCTGAAACTCTTCTTAACCTCTCTGAGCATTCTGTGCTGTGCTCTTGCAGTCATCTATTTACTCCTAGATAGAGTAGCAACAGTACTTTTTTCATTCATAGATAATTTGTCTCGCAGTTGACTGAGCGACATCAAGGCTTTTAGAGTTGATTTTGTAACGCCTCTCAGCTTTCGGCATGTCAACAGTCCTGAATCGTAAGTCTTCTGAGAGCTGTTGTGTGTGTGTGGTTTTTTTTTAAGGTCATTACTGGTGGGTGAACTCTCAAGGTCAAGGACAAACGATAGCCTTGGCTTCAATTAGTGTGGTTAAAGGGTGCAGCGTTCAACTGTGAACTGTGTACAGACAGAAGCAGTCTATTATGCAACCATATAGAAAGAGTAAATTTGTGTAAAATCTCTCCCTCCAAAAGCATATACAATTGTTTTACATGCTGACTTTGTAGGAGTGACCCCCCCCCAAAAAAAAAAAAATATATATATATATATATATATATATAAACAAACTAACAAATGTGATTTTATGAAGCAAGAATTCTTGTGAATTTCACAATTATTTCTTAACGTATAATAAAATGTATTTCGTGAATAACAATTTAAAGCTTTCCTGTTTTTCGTACCCGCTCAAAGTCTTGCAGTGGGTTCTCCAAACTCAGGCTCAAGATGTTTCCCAAGACTGGCACGATGGTAGGTCCTGGTGGAAAATTCTTCGGCCTTCGGCACATGAAATTAAAAAAAATAAAGAAAACACAAAGAGGTAGGAGGATTGTCACTAACATGTTTGAGAAGAGTGGACAGACCGAAACAACTCCACTGCTTTAAAGAGGTTGCACAACTCCCAATCCTGCACACGTCTTTGTGTACTTTGCTTTTCTGAGTAACGGGGGAGGGCAAAGAACGAAAATGGAAATATAGTCTCCACAACCCTGTTCAAATGCCAGCTTTTTATATATATATATATATATATATATATATATATATATATAAATTTCCATATATATAGCACAAGTGTACAGCTCATAGGTAGCATTGGAAATATTCTAATATTTTATCAATGACGAAAACATTAAATTTTTTAGAAATACAGCGTTGCTTTGCTTTAATACATAAGGATTTTCTGAGTGACCCCAGACTTTTGAACACTGCATGTGTGCGCGCGCG